GGGTGGTGATGACTAGCTGCCTTCCCTCTAATCTTACACTGCTAAAGTTAGGACGGCTAGAGCACATAGCCCTCGTGTAGCTTTGTGCGAAATTCTAAAAAAAAACCCAAACCCCCTGCAGAGACTACATCCTAGAATTTTAATGTTGCAAGTTCTTAAACTTGCCGCTTGGAAAATTATTTAATCTAAAACATGAAAAAAAAGAAACCTATGGTGAGTAGAAGAAAACGATGAAAAAAAAAACATCATTCAACCTTTGGTATTTGTTACTTTAAAAACCAACTTGAACGATATCGTCATGAGTGTGGAATACACAGAAACACGTTCGTGTATATATATATATAATTTGAAGTAGTTGAGAGGCTGGGAATTATGTCTGATCTGATAAATTTAATCACGTTTTTACATTATTGCAGGCTGGAGTATTCCTGAATCGATACCGAGCCCAAGCGGTGGGTGACTCACATTTCTCTATGTATATATGAGGGGACACAAGGACCTGTGATGGTCACTGTGACACACTATTTAGTGTAGCAACATCTGCTCGACCAATATATATATAAACATATGCGTGTGTGTGTGTGTGTGTGTTATAAAAGTGAAGGAAATCTGGGGGTAGTGACCAATACGTTCAAGAATAGCTGACTTTTATTAATTTGAATATTAGATTCATATAACTCAGGTGAAATAAGTAAGAGGAATAACAAGAGTGCAGGATGATGATAACGAAGTTCTGGTACAGTTTACCTTAAGCTATTCTGTGGGTAGTAGAACAGAGGGCTACTTCTTGTGGAAGCAAAGTTCAATGTTTCAAAGTAAGACGAATGGAAACTTTTTTTAGTTGCAAAAACTCAGGGATCTGAATTTGGAAAAGATATCAAGAACCGAGTAAACGTCCCCGTTAAAAAAGGAAAATACAAGTAGGTGCTGGTGATTAAAAACAACTCCCCTCTACCGTCGACGTATTCTGAGAATTACGAATTGAAATTATAAGTGTAACTTGGAGTGGAACACTGGATTTGAAAATATGGTAATGGAGCAGTGGACTCTAGGAACCACGCTGACCAATAGATGGGTTTACGTGTTACTACAACAGTTTTTTTTTTTGTGAAAAATAAAAGGAAAGTTTAGAGAAGTAGTTAGCTGTGGAAAGTTTAAAACCAATTCTCCTCTCATATCTTCTAAATGATCCAGGAGATCCCTTGGCAGACAGCACATCAACGTAGTTAGGATCATGATCATATAGTAGGCCTATATAGTTTAAGTTTTTCAGTATATGGACTCGAACTGTCTTTAAAGGCAACAATGACTTAAAATAAAACTGATTGTAATAAAAGCCGGATCTTCTTGTAACTTTTTTCCATCCAGTTCAAGACCAGAAGTCAGTGGAGGAGCTGACAGAATGGTCACTAGGTGCCACTAGATTGTGCAAACCCAAAGAGGGATCTTTCCATCTCCCACCAGTGATTATCATAACGGCCTTACAAACTGTGATTTTCAACATTTGTCAGATAAAGATGTGCAAAACAGAAAATTCAAAGTTAGTTTTATTTGCAAGTGTATGATGAATAATAGTTTGTTTGTTAAGCACAAACCTACACATTGGGCTATCTGTGTTGTGCCCACCACGGGTATCGGCATCCTGTTTTTAGCGTTATACGCCTTCAGACTTACTGCTGAGTCGCTGGGAAGGGGGAGGCGATTTTGTTTCTGTTATAGATTTTATTTGAATTCAGTTCTCATTCTCTCTCTGCTCAAGTATAACCACCATACATTTTACAAACCACAACGGCCTTGCATGGCCTGGTGGGGAGGGCGCTCGACTCCCAATTTGCGGGTCGCGGGTTCACACCAAATATGCTCGCTTTTTCAGACGTGGGGGCGTTATATTGTGACAGCCAATCCCACTATTTGTTGATAAAAGAGTAGCCCAAGGATTGGCGGTCAGTGGTGTTGACTAGCTGCCTTCGCTCTGGTCTATCAATGCTAAATTAGGGACGGATAGCGCAGATAGCCTTCGTATAGCACAGATAATATTAGTATAGCACAGATAGCCTTTATGTAGTTTTGCGCGAATTTCAAAACAAACCACAACACTTACATTTGTGGGAGGGGTAGATAACAGTGGAATTATACTGATGTGCTACTTTAATATTTACGGGCCCCCTAGTGGCACAGCGGTATGTCTGCGGACTTACAACGCTAGAATCCGGGTTTCGATACCCATGGTGGGCAGAGCACAGGTAGCCCATTGTGTAGTTCTGTGCTTAATTACAAACAAACAAACAAATATTTACGGTATTTTATTTATAGTTTTTTTTCACGGTTCATGCACGGTTTTCTTTCGGAAAACGACATTTATCGTATCGTTTTTTGTTTTTTTTTGTGTCATCAATAAAGCACCATTTATTTACCAAATAACTTCTAATACCTAATAAGGCATTTTTCATCATCCAAAAAGTTACCACCCCTCAGTCAACAGTATGTCATTCTTTAAAATATTCAAGTTACCATTCCTCAGTCAACAGTGTTCCATTCTTTAAAATATTCAAGTTACTATCCCTCAGTCAACAATCTACTATTCTTAAAGCTATCATTCCTCAGTCAACAGTGTTCCATTCTTTAAAATATTCAAGTTACTATCCCTCAGTCAACAGTGTTCCATTCTTAACTAAATTATACTCACAATTATTGTTTATATAAACTTCATTTTTTGATGAATTTCTTTAATTTTAAAGCATTTTACTCAAACACAAGTATTATTTTTCTATAAACACAATTGTCCCTGCTGTTATTTCGTTATAAACACACTTCACCCTGCTGTTATTTCTTTATAAACAGACTTGCCCTTGCTGTTATTTCGTTATAAACACATTTGTCCCTGCTGTTATTTCGTTATAAACACACTTGTCTCTGCTATTATTTCGTTATAAACACATTTGTCCCTGCTGTTATTTCGTTATAAACACACATATTTTTATTGTGCCAGTAAAGCAACACCAGACAGTTTCTGTTTACGTGATATATCCGATATGTTTAAGAGATTTGTTTCTTCTTGAAATAGTCGTAAGGAAAAAAAAGTTCAAACTGACAACACGATATTTACCTACCTCAATGCAACTAAAGCAAAACAATGTTGCTGCAAAATAACACTGTGTTACATTATCTCTTAATATTCTTGTGAAAACTGTACCATAAAATAATAACATCTACAAGCGAATCCGATAGATTAAGATGGTAAACAATATTGACCCCGTTTATCTTCCATACATATATTGAAACCCAGTTTTGCTGGTATATCGATTACAACTTCATTTTGCGTGTCATTTATTTACCATGGGTATAAGTGAGCCCTAGATTATCAGATAATTTCTTTATTATTCCTAAGAAACATTATACAAGGTGTCTAAATTAGAGATACCACGAGACCTAGTTTTGTGTATTCTCGTTAACAGTGTATACATTGCTGGTTCATTTGTTGTTTAAACACAAAGCTATATAATGGCCTATCGCTGCACTGCCCATCGTGGGTATCGAAACCCAATTTTTTGTGAAGAAAGCTCTTAGACTAACCGCCACGCCACCGAATGGGGTGTGCGTGTAGGGTATACTCAGCCTACTAACTCCGCACCATCCCAAATCGTGCTATCGTTGACTGTGTTTTCCCCACATCCATTGGATCTCTTGTCAGATTTATGGTGTATTACTTATTAAGTAAACACAACATCCATTGGATCTCTTGTCAGATTTATGGTGTATTACTTATTAAGTAAACACAACACCCATTGGCACTATTACGTGTAATCTCTTATTCACTACAATATCACGAAAATGTCATCATAAGCAGTTTTCTGAAGTGGAATAAACTTGGAATTTATATCGGCGATTCAATATTTTTTTGAAGATCCATCTTACATCAGGTTTCTGTCCTGTTTACATGAAAATATATTTATTACTAAGGTAAGTAAACATGCTAAGTGTATTCGAATAAGACATATTTTTATTTTTCTGTTATAAAAAAAAACACTAAACTTCAGGCCTTCTAACAAGCAGTCTTAAATATATATCGTTCATTCTCGTTTTTCTCAACAGATGGCAGGACATGAGCCATTTCAACACCACTACGTCTACTCGTGATGCTTGGAATCGAGTGTTGGTTCAATCCTCCAGGGGAACGCCTGGGATGACTGTCTTGGTTCCCGTGATTGGCTAGGTCTGTCGGACTTATAGAATTTAGAGTGAACCAATGATATAGGTGTATAGATATGTTTTGTGAACTGCAAGTCTTCTGAATCGGTAGGGAATTTGGGTTTCGAAGATCGTGCCTTCAGCGAGCACTCCATTTCACTACCTTTTCTTTCTCTGTAATTCTCTCAACTTGATTGTAAAGATAATCCCGCTGACGAAGTCCATGAGAATGTTACCGCACGGAATGGCCTACCACCCGTTTCTGCTGCCTTCCTTCTCGGCAGCAGCGGAGGCCCATGACCATCTAGGTTACGGCGTGAATCCTTTCCTGTCTCCGCAGAGTTTCTTCTCTTTGCATACCCCGGCTCCCCTGCCAAAGTTCCCGCTCTACCCGCCGCACTTGCAGCCGTCACCACAGCATTTGGAGCCTGATGATGATGGCGTCCAAGACGATCCAAAAGTCACTTTGGAGTCGAAGGACTTATGGGAAAAATTTCACACTTTTGGAACCGAGATGGTTGTCACAAAAACTGGCAGGTAGGCTGGGGGATGGGGGAAGTATAGAAAAATTTGGTTTTATTGTTCACCACACACACAAAAAGTATATATATGTATTCACGCCAACCTATCCAAAATGTATTTGAAGACCATATTTTTATGAACATCTAAGAAAAAAGGTTAGAGAAAACACCACCATAGTTGTCACGGCTTCTTGGAGACGTTTTTTTTGTATGATGTGAAATACATACATTTAAAACATTTAAACTGAATGTATCTATAAATACAGCGGAATGAAACTCTGGCTAAATAAACGGGCCGTCGAATCTTTATTAAATTTCTTCCAATGTATAAAAATATGTAAAATCAAGAAAGACGGATTTTCTGTTTTTAATTAGAGGTTATGATTTTTCTTTTTTTATATTCTGACTCAGGTTTCAAGTATATATGCATAACGTCACTGTGATAAGAAAGGCCAGCCTATCGCCTAAACAAGATCCTCTCCTGATAGTTTAATTGGTTATTTTGACGTAATTTAAGTAAAAACTAGAATGCTCAAAAGAAAGTGAACTTGACTGGAGGTAGTAAATAAAAAATTGATAAAAGAACAATTTATACTTCTATAAAGTTTAGTTTACTATAAAGTTTACTTCTAAACGTAGTAAATATAGATTGTAAAAACTAGTGCATTGGTTGTCAAAACTCGAGTTTCGATAAAAAGGACCAACTTGATACTTTTAAACAGAGGTTTCCGTTCACGTATCGATTTTGAAAAGTTAATCAGTCAAACTATTTTTCCTTCAGGCTATATAAATAAATATAAATATAAATAAATATAAATCATTAATATGATTCTTAAAAATTCACATTTCGTTCCATTCTGTATATAACCTAAACTCATAGTTTCAAAGTGAATCGAAACCCGTATATAATTTTGTTGGAAGTTTATTTCTTTGTTGCAAAACACAAAGAAACACAATGGGCTATCTGTGCTTCGTCCGCCACGGGTATCGAAACCCAGCTTTTAGCGTTATATATATCTTCAGATTTACTGCTGATCTTCTGAGAGACCCTTGTAAAAAAAACCAGTAAATCAAATGTTTTTTCTTGATTTTTCCTATATATATGTATGTGTTTTCTTCTTTTTGAGAATAACAAAAGGAATTATTAATTTATTTAGAAAGACTTTTTCGTGCGAGAAGTTATAATCGTGACTTGATATAATCTCTACGAAAGAAGTCATGAAAATTTTCAGTGTGTTTTGTTATGTATGTGTTACTTACTACCTTGCGAACCATTTAACACCGTTAAAGATTGTTAAACAAACAGATATTGAGAATTAAGTTAAGATGTAAAAGTTTAAAAGGAGATTAACATCAAAACTGTTTTCATAATATTGTGTTTACTACAATACAACCTTTCAGCATTAAAAAAAAAAATCAATGCTGCTAACAAGGTTGCTTTACAATCGAGTGCTTTATCAATAATTCGATTTTAAATGGGCCCTACTTTCGAGCACGCTTCTTCTAACTGTTCAATCTGACCGTGAATAATATATACTAACACATAAATAGTGAATGAAAAATCTAGAACGGCATTATATAGATGGCGGTGTGATTGAATTATACTTTCCTCCGCACTTTCTAGTCTGTGCGAAATAAATATGCAAATAATTAAGAAAAAAGAAAAACAAACCTGGGAGATCTGTATAGTTCAATATATTGAAAAGTAACAACAAAAGCATTTTGCCAAATCTAATCTTTACTTTTGAAATCGAACTGTATTTTATACTGCTAATACACGTTTGCTAACTTTTATTTGATAATTATAAAGGCTATTTAAATATTCGTTGGAAACAAATACTTTTAGTGGATTATAAGTGAAGTAAATAAATGTTTGTCAATGTTGACCTCTGACCTTGGTTAATCTTCATAGCGGGTCTTTTTAATTGCATTCAAAAATATCTTTAAATATCAAATGGGAAGTCTGTTTATTATAGACCGTTCATGCGTTTTGTTTTGAAAGTGATGTAAACAGGCTTGTTTATCGTTGACCGTTCATGCGTTAATGTGAGGTTTTCAAACTAATATAAACAGGCCTGTTTATCGTTGGCCGTTAACCCGTTAATGTGAGGTTCTGAAACTG